TATTATGCAAATTGATTTATTCTTCGGATTTAGACATGTTTGGCAGAGATTTTTTTTTTTTTTTAATAAATTTTGTAAAAAATGCTCTTTTGGAGAATGTATGATAAAAAAATATGATTTCACGTGTAAAATTATTTTATTACGAGGATGTGTGATTGGAAATAAATTTTAAAAATTGGGAGCCAAACACGAGCTTAGCTTAATCGAATAACTTATAACTCTCTCTCATATGAGATCATGTATAGGATGGTGACCATTTGACGGTTTTTGTTTTGCGTTTTGTAAATCCAATAAGGACCTACTTGCACTAAAATGAAAGTGTAGGGATCTTAATGCGATCAAATTTGAATCGGATCCCAATTGCTCCCGATGGGGAGCAGAAACTTTTTCATTCTTTTTATATTTCGATATCATATTGATGTGTCTCGTCTAAGAACTAAAATTCAAGAGAGCAAATAAAATTATTATTTTTATAATTATATTTTCAACGAGTCGCAATCTCCCGCTCATTACACCCGAATCGAGCATGGGTTGCATTTGAAAACGAAAGCAATGTTTACTATATCTAGATTTAATTCCATCTGTGCAAGCTCATTTTGCAGTCCCCTCTGCCATGAATTCATCCATATCCATCAAGTGAAATAAATTTAAAGCAATTTTTCGATGATGGGCAAGAAAAATGTGGTCACCAAGGTGCATATCTAAGGCAACATAGCAGTGAGGTTTGGTACTTTGCGCAATTATTTTTGGACTTTGTACAAGAGGTGGTGTCTCCACAAGAGCCAGCTAGTATCTACTCTTTGGATAGTGACACATTACCCTCTATCAATGATGGCTTTTTTGGATCTTAAGGCTCGAGTAGCAAGTTGATTTTTAGCCGACAAAAAGGTGAATGTTGATGATTAACTCTTCGTTATAGTTTCGCGATCTATCCTCGATGATGGAAACCATGTGATACATTGCGAACCTGATGCCTATGGGAGTGTGCTTATAGCAGCTAATTGGTGTCCACATGGCTCTTGACCCGAGAGTTTGAGAGGCATGTTCCATCATTTTGAAATCTCGATGAGTAGAATGATTATTTGCCCTTCCATTATTGAGTGAGACCAAAATGTGGGGGCTACGTATAAGATATTAAACTACATGGAATTACTATCTCAACATAAGTCAGGGTTGATTCGACCGATCCTTGAAGTGGTCAGTCGACCCCTTCTGAAGGTGGTCGATTAATGGCTCCAACTTCGTGAGTCTGATTGTGTTTATTCGGAAAAGACTACGTTGATCTTCCCATATAATATCAATATGCAATACTGAATATGATCATATAACATAATAAAATTACACTTTAATCTTTTTTCTTTAGCTTTAAAATATGCAGTTGGAGTGGATTAAACAAAGATACACAGTGCCTAAACCCTTCATCCAAATCAAACCATCCAAAAAATGAAAATGACTGCTCATATCAAATGCTGCCTATTAATAATTGCCCATTTAATGGGCTGATAACTGCCTTCTCATTTCTTCTACCATACATTATGTTATCTACTGGATGTCCCACCAATCCTCTCAAATTGTTTGAGTTGACAATTATGTGTTTGTTAATTGGTAAAAAAAAAAAAAAAATTTGTAAATTTTTCGGTGTAAATTTAAGTCGTCTGCATAATAGACAGATGAATATGTACAATCACACGGCTTGTTGGAAATAAATCCCACATCGCCTATGGACAATATCTTTGGCCAGCTTATAAACAATGTGGCAAACCTCTCTTATTGAACCGGTTTTGTGAGATGAGTTAGGCGCATAAATTTCTACACGGCTCCTCGACTATTCAAGTGCTCGCAAGTCGCTAACTATAAATTCAAGGAGAAGAAAGTTAGATGTAATGTAAGTCAAATAATTTATTTTAAATTATTTTATTCTTAGGAGAATTTTATTCCTCACTTTTTTCCCTTGTTAACCAAGTTATGTCGAGGTCCATTTACTTCCACCTAGTACACCTTTGGTTTTGTCTGACTTTCCATTAGAACTTGTCCATGCATGCTTTTTTTTTCCCCCTTATTTCTATAATTTACTTTTCTTCTAGGTTAAGTATTCATCTGTATTTAGGCATGACGCACTTTGAATTGAAACTACGAATTTTATAACATGATCTTCTGTCGTAATTTTATGACTTTCTATTGTATATTTAATTAATTTTTTTAAAAAAAAGTCGCTTTGATATAAATTTTTTTAAGAACACGTGAATCTACACAAGTTAGACCAAATTAGTTAATGTTGAGTTCTACGTATAAAATCAAATCTTAAATCGATTTCACATTTTTTTTTTTTTTTAATCTAGCTGATTTTTATGGATTGACGCTGATTGATACATATGCAAAATAATTAATATTTTCATAAAGATTAAATAGCAATTTACACTTTTCATAATTTTTTTTTTTTTATAAAACGTGAAAAGAATCGAATTGGATTTAAGCTATACAAGTCCGTTGACCGCCAAATAAGGCGCCAAACCACTCGACTTGGCGTTTCCTTCCACGGCGTATCACGTCTAGCGGCAATTTGACGACGTCTAGACGCATCTTTGAAAACACCGATTCTTATTGAAATTTGATTATGTCAAACCTTTTCTCATACTGAGTTAATTTTAGAGTTTTTCACAAATTCGCTTTAGACTCGCAACGTAATATTTATCGCATGTGAAGTTAAGAGTAGGTAAAAACACTATTATTTATAATATTCGTCCGTAATGAATTCAAGTCCTGACTCCATCGTTACATATTATAAAATCTAATTATTTCGACTGTGGTATTATATGGAATAAAAAAAAGTGTCTTCAATTGGACAAAATTAACCTATAATTGCAAAATGGGCTGAGCAAAATCTCATTGCATTAATTAAAAATTTAACATATTCATCAATTATCTTTTTACCATTATGTCGACTATAAATTGTTGGATACTTAACCTTTCTAGATTCTATACGCTTGACGTGCTATGTTGCCATGTGCAAGTCAATTGAATAATATGCTATTTCTCAATTTCATCCTCTTAATCTAGACAAAGATTAAACAACATTATCTTTAACGTTGGATTTCTAGAAATAAGATCCTAAATTTCCTCTTCGCTTCCTTCTTTGGTTAGATATGTCCAATTCCTCATTATTGGATTTAAAGATATTCTTCTTTAAATATAAACTCATTTTCGATATATGAAGTTTAATTAGAAACCGTATATTATTTTTACCAATTCACCTTCTTCCATTAGTTAAGAAGTATTGTTTTCACAACTCGGGTCGAAGATTCAAGTATCGGTACCTTCATCCCCTCTCCCAGAAAATAATAATAATATGTTATTTAGATTCTCATGAAATGATTTAGGATAATATTCTAATATTTCTCTTTTCAAACAATCGAGTGAATTTTGTTTAGAGTATTTGTACCCATTTGAAAATATTCATGAGTCATTTGTCGTGCTAACTTTATCAGAATTTGTAATGACGATAAGTTAATAACTACTTTATTTTATTTATTTCTGGTTGAACTTTATCTAAGCCGATGATATTTAGGCAGGTTTTTTTGCAAAGTGCAAAGAGTTCTTGAAAAACATGCATTTGGTAAGCTTCACATATCTAATAAATTAGGTTTTGCTTCTCAACTTTGATGGTTATCTTGCAATTTGAAGTAATAAGCGTTTTCATGATTCAAATGACAAGAAGTTTCTAAAATTGAGACTAATTATGCAGCTATATGAAAGATGGGTGACCAACTTTCTATTTAAGCACTAGGTCGATGACTAATGGTGCAATTTTCCTTAATACTTTTTGTTGATAAATTTTGACAAAAAAATATTTAACGTATTATACATTTGATCTCCACGTGTCATCAAAAGAATCCACTAACATAGAAAAACCATGTAAACGCGTTTCGCTCTATCTTTATCCAACTTCATTGACTCCCAATTGGCGTGTTTCCTATTCTCTTTTTCACAAATCTCTCTTTATTTACAGTTTTTATTAGTTTCTCTCTCTAGTTATTGATTTTCTTATGAGACTTGTAACCAAACTTCCTTTCAGTTTCTCGCTCTAGATTTTCTCTACCTGAAATGTGTGGAGCCCAAACTGGTCCTCTGCTTTGCTGGATTCAAGCTCTCCATTGTTGGTTTTTAATGGGGTTTGTCTGCTGAGAGAGACTAGTTTCGGTTGCCCAATAAAATACAGCATACCACTCTCTCTCTATAATTCTTTTCCACTTCTCTGTGCAGTGTATTTTTTTTCATCTTCTGCTACTTCATCATCCGAAGACTGTTCAAAGTGACGAGAGAAAGGAATAAATTCAAATCCACTTTGATTTTATGTTCACTTTGAAGGATCTACAGATCTAAATCTGTTTCGCTTTCAGATCTTCCTCTCAGCTCATAAGGTAAAAGTCTTAAAGATATTTGTATAATGTAGAGTACTGTGGCTAGATATTTTTCGTGATTTCACTATTTCAAGAATTTGGATTTTTCTTTTCTTTTATTTATTATTCGTTTTCATCCGTTTTTCTGAGAGTTGGACTTTCTGGAATTTGAACTGGCTGTGCCTGAAAGAAAAAAGTGAATTTTGACCACTCTTGTTTTCAAGGCCCCTCCTCCTCTTTTCCTCGTTGCTGAATTTTCTCATTTTTTTTGCGGCGGGTTGGTGTCATGGTGTTCTGTTTCCATAAGAAACATGAGATCTATTTCACATTAAATAACCTTGTCCCTTTAGTTTCATAGAATTCTTAGCTGAAATCAAAGTTGTTGTATTTAATTTGTTGGGTTTCTGTGATTCAAGTTCTAATTTTTATTGTTTTTATGTTTATTCTTGATGTTATTCTAGACTTTGTGTGCATAGTGCAAACAATTACTATTTCTGGAGGAGATATTTGTAAAAATATCCATTGAGGTTTAATCGGGCCAGAATTATCATTAGTTCTCATTAAATGTGGATAATTTGGAGGGTGGTTTGGATGAGATGAGGTATGTTATCTGGGTTAATGAACCTTTTGAGGGCCTGTTTTCGGCCAAAGGCAGAACGATATGTTCACACGGGTTCAGATGCCAATGGCCGTCAAGATGGGCTTCTTTGGTATAAGGATACAGGGCATCATTCCAATGGGGAGTATTCTATGGCTGTAGTTCAAGCTAATAATTTACTTGAGGATCAGAGCCAACTTGAATCTGGTTGTTTGAGCTCTCATGATTCTGGACCATATGGTACTTTTGTGGGGGTTTACGATGGACATGGCGGTCCCGAGACTTCTCGGTTTATCAACGAGCACCTCTTCCGACATCTCAAGAGTAAGTTCTATCAATTCCATTGTTATTTTCTGAAGTTCAAAGTATGATACAAACAAGTTTTTAGTTTGCCAACATTCGTTGTTACATATATTTCAAAATATAATGGCTCAATACTAGCAGTGAATATGACAGGTAGATCAATTTCCTATAATTATAGGTCTTGTGTTCAACTGCTAATTTTCCTACTATGCAGGGTTCACTTCAGAGCATCAATCTATGTCAGTGGAGGTGATACGGAAGGCATTTCAAGCAACGGAGGATGGTTTTTTCTCACTTGTCAGCAGGCAATGGCCCATGAAACCACAGATAGCAGCAGTTGGCTCGTGCTGCCTTGTCGGAGTCATTTGCGGAGGAACTCTATATATTGCCAACCTTGGTGATTCCCGTGCTGTTTTGGGAAGACTAGTCAAGGCAACGGGGGAAGTATTGTCCATTCGGCTCTCGGCAGAGCACAATGCGAGTATTGAGTCTGTGAGACAGGAGCTGCATTCACTGCACCCTGACGACCCACAAATCGTAGTACTAAAGCATAATGTGTGGCGAGTGAAGGGCCTCATACAGGTTAGTTCCAACATTTCTTATGGTATCATTTTGATATTGATTTTCAACCTTGATTGGATTGAAACTAGGAACTTTAGGTTTTTGCTTTCTGCCTGTGTTCCGTAGTTGCTAAAAATCCTACTTTGGTAAAAAATATTGTTGAAGTAAAAATAAATAAATAAAAAATTAGTCACATTTAATTTGTGTTAGAAGAATTAATGAGAGATGTTCCCTTAAAAAAAGAGAGTTTTCATCTTCTTGGGGGTTTGTGGGGGTGGGGATTGTGCAGAAACTGTTCTCCCAGATCTACGTCTAATCTAAATATGATAAACCAAGGCAGAAAAACTTTAAAATTCTTACTTTGGTAGAAATATTTAACTGAAAAGTATGCTTCTTGTGGGTGATGCGTGCTTGGAAGACTTTGAAGTTCAGATGTAGATTAGACATCTCCCTCCCGAACTTCCTCGTGTACTTGATAACTTCATCTATGGATAATGTTCTGTATAATTTCAATATGTGAGGTATGAGACATCTTAAGTGTGATTTATGTTTGTAGTAGTCTGATATTTTGTCTTACAGATTTCAAGGTCTATTGGTGATGTGTACTTGAAAAAGGCTGAATTCAACAGGGAGCCATTATATGCAAAGTTTCGACTTCGTGAACCTTTCAAAAGACCAATTTTGAGCGCAGAACCATCAATTTCTGCGCACCAATTGCTACCTCATGATCAGTTTGTTATATTTGCATCAGATGGCCTATGGGAGCACCTTACCGACCAGGAAGCTGTTGATCTTGTCCAAAATCATCCACGAAATGTAAGATATTTGACGCTTTAAATGTAATCATCTTTCTAATTTTGAAAAGTTACATGCAACATGGTCAAGGCCATAATTATGAATAGTGACCGTCAGACTGCTTTTTGGTGCTTGGTGCTGATCGTGTTTGTAGGTCATTTTTGTAGTTCTCATAAATTTGTGAGGGTCAGTTGGGGTGCTAATTATGAACATAGAAGCACACTGGTGGTGAAGTTGCTGCAATAACACGTGTACGTTGTTGGAGTGCTTTGAATGTTCACTCATCACCTTGACTGCTGATCAACTTAATAGGTGTATAGTGGACATTCATATTTATGTATTTGGGGACAGTAGTTGGGTGCTGTTTTCCTACTAGATTAGATAGAGAGGTGTGAAGAAGAGAATCTTGTAAAATCCATCTTCATTTATAATGAAAATTTGTAGCGGCAAGTGGATGTAGTTCACAGAGGGTGAACCTTTAGTTTTTATTTTTATTTTTCAGTCCGTTGCTTAGGGCTTAATCCCCTAACATATGCTTTGTTGGTTTTTGAATTAGAAAAAGGCAAACAGGAGGAATAACCTTTTTTTTGGTTGAGATAATTTCTCTATAAATGTTATCCTTAAATGTTTTTCTTTTTGCAGGGGATTGCTAGAAGATTAGTGAAAACAGCATTGCAAGAAGCGGCAAAGAAGAGGGAGATGAGGTACTCGGACTTGAAGAAAATTGATCGAGGAGTTCGTCGTCATTTTCACGATGACATCACAGTTATCGTGGTGTTTCTCGACTCACATCTCGTGAGCAGGGCTAGTACAGTTCGGAGTCCTAATGTATCTGTGAAAGGGGGCGGTATCAATATTCCACACAATACCCTTGCGCCTTGCACCACCCCGACAGAAGCTGGTACTACTTGATGATGCTATTCTAATATTGTCACCTGCTGTACTTCTCCTCCAAAATGAATACAGGTAGCTTAAAAGAAAGAGCAGCCCTTGATTGTACACTGTTAACTTTTTTAACTCGAAGGCTAATACGTGGGCATAATTCCAGTGCCCGAGAAACAGACTGGAAAAGAGAACTTTAAGGTACATCATTGTAGTTATGTTGTTCTGGGCAAATCTTTCACCTCTGTTGTTTTCTCATGTTTTATAATCATCTTTTAGTCTGATTTTAAGACTTGTAAATTCTGTCGACCTCCCTAATTATTTTTTTTTATCTTTCTTCTCGTGGGACACTTTGTTCGTCCTCTTTTTCTTCTATAAGTTGAGCCTCAATGCCCCTAGTCAGGAGGTAAGAGCTGCTGAGCGGCCTTTTCTATGCTTATATTATCGCGATTTTAGTTTGTAGTTTTTGGAAGACGCATTGTTACTATTTATTTTATTTGCCCTAAACGCTGCACGGTTAAAGCTTATAGAGCTTTCCATGATTGAACTTTGGGGGCGGCACATCAATGACGGCTCTAAAGATGGCTTCTGCTTGTCTGAAGTGTGCTCGAACTTGTAAATTTTTAAATTTCAACAATGGAAGTTCGTCTAAAGTTTATATCTTTCATGGATCTGGAGGAACCTTGGAGCGATCGCTGTCAAAATAGACTTGAGAACTGTGACATTTCCTTCATGAAGGAAAACTAACATGTTTGATGGGAAATAGTAGATATAAGCACTATAAATATATATACTAGGTGGTCGAGGGTTAGGGCGTTGGTGAAAGGGTGGGTCTGGGTCGGGAATATAGGTGCTATATTGAGTCCTGGTTTGATATTGATTAAAATCTAGATTTTAATTTAAATCAAAATTAACAATGAATTTTAATAACATATTTCTTGGAATTTAACAACTTTTTACTCGCATATTTTATCTCCTATCAAAATCGATTAGTTTGGTACCCATTATTTTAAAAATATTTTTTTTCTCTTATTTTCAATTACATATTTTTCAATCAAATAATGTAGTACGCAAATTTAAAATTTTTTGAAACATATATTTTAGGCCAAAAAAATGAGCTCAACATGCTCCTAATTTTAGCTCCCACCAAACATGGGCTAAGGATTATGACCGGGCTGCATATGGTTGAGGCAGCAGCGAGGCGCAGCGGTGCAGTGGCGGTGGTATACTAACAGTAAAAATATATAAATAAGCTTTTTTTACGTCTCAAAAGCGACAATATGCAAAGTCGCAACGTGGCGCTCATGTCATGTGGGGTCCATCCAGCCAAGCAATGGGATACTCGTGTCTGTTATCTCCTTTAGGCCGAAAATATAGTCCAAAGTCGGCAAGTTTAATAAATCCTATGCTTGTAAAATTACTTTTTATTCAATTCAAGTTAAATATTATTTTTATTATCCCATTCAAAAACACAACTCATTTATTAATCACATTTTATGGATCTAATATAATTCTTTCTAAAAAAAAAAAAATTAGAACACTTCCTAATTATAATAAGAGAGCAGTCAAGATATCAAACCTTTCATTTAGTACTCTAAAAATGAAAAAATTATAATTTTGACCAAATAAAGTTAGGATATTTAAGTCAAAAAGCATTTTCCTTTTTAAAAATAAAAAATCCATAAAACCAAAATTAAATGAAATTATCTTCTTCTTCCCAACACCCTCACCCCACCCTACCCTACCCATCCCATAACCAAATTCAAAGTCTTACCCACCATCGCCACCCTCCATAGTATTTTGATTCACTCATTCGAAAACTAAGATAGGAAGAAGAAGAAAATTGTGGAGAAACAGAGAGAGAACAAATCACAAAATCTCGTCCCCTACCCAAAATGAGCTTCTATTAATTAACTAGGAGAGCTCTATGTGTGTATGTGTGTGAATTGTTTGTTAAATGAGTATAATTCTTGCTATTGACTTGCATTTTTGGTGTTATAGTGTTAGAATTAATCAACCAGCTCAACCAATTCCACCAAACCAGCTAGTGCTTAACCTCTCAACCATTTTATCAGTGCAGTGTGCAGCTCCTTTATTCTAGGAGTGGAAGAATATTTTTTAGTTAGTCACTTGACAATAATGTATAAGTAGTGGAGGAATATTATTTCAATGTTAGTGTATTTCCCTCGTACCGTAATTATATATATATAGAAACAATACAAGATGAATGTATTGAGCTGAGAATTTACAGCAAAGTTTATCTTCAATTTATATAAAATTTACACAAGTTCGATTTCAATTTTCATCTTGGTATCAGAGTCGTAATGCCTAACACCGGCACAACAAGTCAAGCTTCCTCAACTGAGATGAATCCTACACCGACCACGGGAGCTGCTGTGTATCGGTCATTACCTTTTGGGATGAACCTCACTCAAACTCCATCGATCAAATTGGAGAAAAACAATTTTCTACTATAGTAGAACATGATTATGCCTATTATCAAAGGCCACAATCTTGAAGGGTATCTACTAGGTACAAAACAATGCCCACCGGAGTTCATTGGTACTCAAGCCATCCCTGATGAAGTTGAAGCTGTCAGAGTAACCCAAAATCCAGAGAATAGCAGGTGGATGTCAACTGATCAGTTGCTGATGGGATGGTTGTATTCATCTATGACTCCTGAAATTGCAATGAGGGACATGGGTTATGCTACCTCAAACAAGCTGTGGAATGCAATCAAAGAAAGTTATGGAATACTGAATAGATTGAGAGTTACATTCTTTACTGGAGAGCTGTAGAGAACTAGGAAATGTGCTATGACTATGGATCAGTATCTCACTACAATCAAGCAACTAGCCGACAACTTGTAGTTTGCTAGAAAAATCATAGATCACAGTGATCTTGTGACCCAAGTTCTTGTAGGACTTGATGATGAATACACACCTATTGTAGTGCAGATTAATAGTAGAGATGATGTGTCATGGTATGAGCTTTCATGAATCCTAATGACCTTCGAGAGCAGGCTAGAACATCTCAACCAAGTAAGGAATGGCATACCATCTGTCAATATTAGTCAATCTAGTGTGCAATTGGCTCAAAGATCTGCATCAGGTGGTGGCAGAACCTTCATGACTACTAATGGTGGAAGGTTATCAAGCTTCAAAGGAAGAACTAGAGGCAGGGGAAGGACTAGCAGATTAAATGAAAGTTGAGGACCCTGTCAAATCTGTGGCCTCAACAATCATTCCGCCAGCTGGTGTTTTAATAGATATGATGAAAGGTACATGGGAAGCAAACCAAGCAATTAGATTCATCAGAACAACAACCCAACTGCATCTGCCTATTTTGCTTCACCAAGCATTGTTGAGGATCCAACCTGATTTGCAGACTCTGGAGCAAGCATTCATGTTACCACAGACAAAGGTAATCTGGCCATTGCCAAGAAATATGGAGGTAAGGAAAAATTATTACTTGGTAATGGTAACTCACCGCACATTGCTCACATTGGAAACAAAAGCTTGCCTACTCTGAGTGATAAGTCACCGATCTTGAATAAACTACTTCATGTGCCTGCTATTAAGAAGAATCTGATTAGTGTCTCTTAATTGACAAATGATAATGATGTATTCATGGAGTTTTACCCTGATTCTTGTGTTGTTAAGGACCTGCAAATGAAGAAGATCCTGCTGTAAGGGATGCTTAGAGATGGATTGTATCAGCTGAAGTTGCCAAACTCCAAACCTGAATTCATTACACACAACTCTAGTCGCCAAAATAATTCCAGTCTTACCAATTACTTAGTTAGTTCAAGTTCCCTGAATTTCTGTGAAGCCTGTCAATTTGGCAAGTCTCATGCCTTACCTTTTAATTTGTCTTCTTCACATGTCTTGAATTTATTAGACCTTATATACACAAACATTTGGGGACCAGCACCAGTTAATTCTACCTCAGGATTTAGGTATTATATCATCTTTGTGCATGATCATAGCAGGTTTACCTGGATTTATCCTATGAAACACAAATCAGAGTCATTAAACATCCTTATCCAATTCAAAAAATTAGTGGAAAATAAGTTTGAAAGGAAGATAAAGGCTGTACAATCAGACTGGGGAGGTGAGTATAGAAAATTCGATCAAATAGCCTCACAATCAGGCATTGAACTTAGAATATCCTGCCCGCATACCTCTACCCAGAATGGAAGGGCAAAAAGAAAGTATATACACATAACTGAAATCGAACTAACACTCCTAGCTCAAGCAAAAATACCATTACATTATTGGTGGGAATCTTTTATGACAACAGCCTACCTGATAAACAGATTACCTACTCCTACACTTCAACACAAATCTCCCTTTCAAGTCCTATACAAAAGAAACTTTGACTACAAAATGCTGATGACATTTGGCTGTGCTTGTTACCCATGTTTAAGGCCCTACCAAAAACATAAATTCAATTTTCACTCTCATAAGTGTGTCTTTCTTGGTTTTGGTGATTCACATAAGGGGTATAAATGCTTAAGTTCCACAGGTAGAATCTATATCTCAAGGCATGTGATGTTTAATGAGTCAGATTTTCCATTCAAAACTGGTTTTCTAAATAAATAAATAGAGTCAGCCACAAATGTCTGAGGTTGTCATAAGCTATCTCCCATTTGATGTAGAATCAAGCCTTGCATTAGTACCTCAAAGTCAAGCCGACACATTTCATCCTAGTATTACACCTACAACAGAATCCTTAAACAGAGAATTACAACCTGAAATTGGTGGTGAAATGAATGGAAATGAAGGAAATGACATTAGAGAAATTGATCGGACAACATCAGCTAATCATGAAGTCACTAAAGTTCAACAAGGTGGAAACATTGACTCAGATGAAGGTATTGACATTGACACTCGGTGTCCCACAGGAGGCTGGACACCACATGGTTACTAGGAGTAAGGCAGGAATATTCAAGCCAAAGGTTTACATCTGCCAGGATCAACATCTAGACACAATTGAAGCTGAACCACAGAGTGTTGAAGAAGCCCTGT